TTTTAAAAAAAAGTTTAAAATCCAGTATATTTTGGTACTTTTATATCATATAAGCATACCAGTATATTAATTAATAAATAAAATAATTTAGATTGTAGATTTTTTTGTATTTTTAGATGTGTACGTCCGTCACAATTCAGACAAGTACGTCCGTCACGATAAAATTGTACGTCCGTCACAGTAATTTTATGGTGTTTTCATAGAGAAAATGAAAAAAATTTAATTAAATTTTTATTCTGCTAGAAAGCCCACAGATTAGTGGAAAACAACAGGGAATTTTTTTTTTAAATGTCCCACACATCACAGAGTTTTTAAAAAAAGTACAGTGACGTAGGAAAAGTCACTTTCTCTGATTACGTCCGTCACAGGGTCATTTTGACCCGTATCTCCGTAACGCATACGAGTTAAAAAATAAAAATTGTAGGCTTGATACCAGTAGATGAAATGCAAACTTTAAAAAAAATAAATTGAAAGCTTCATTATGAAAATATAGATTCACAAAGTGTCTGAAATGTACGTCGAATTTATGGAATTGCCCATAATATATAATTAGATACGATATTCATAGTGAATTGTTGAGTATGAAGGATTTGATATATTGATGTGTGTGTGTGTGTGTGTATGTATGTATATATCAAACCATTTAGCAGATTTTACAAGTGATTATACAAGGCGCTGCCATCATTATTTCCCTGGTTACTGAATACTGAATTGGCACATCCACCCATTATGCAACTTTTTCTGCTCCCTAGAGAGTATCCCTGTTCATTGCTGCTTGAACACATTTATATGCCATACCATCCTACAAGGTACCCATTTACTACTAGAAAGTTCAACGCCAAAGTAGTGTATAAACTCCGAAAAGAGCAATTATTCAAAAACAGATATTGGTTTTGAAAAGTCTTAGGGTAATTAATTTAAGAGAACAGAGGATCCAACATATTAACATATTTTATCCTCGCCGTAACTTCCCACAGTAATGTTAAACATGTCGTCTGAATTTTTCTTAGTCCATGTTGAGTAAATAATATCTGCTTTGTCTTCAGAGATTCCAGTGTGCTTTTGTGCGTACGAGATATCGTCTGTTAACAATATTTGTGATAGATAATTAGAGTTCCACAATGTTAAAAGATATGGACTTCTTGGCTTGTGCTGGATGGGTTTAAATCATTCTGTGACAGAAATGGTGTTTTTCCATTTCTTTATTTGTGTTTTTGTGAGCCGTTCATGGTTTATCCGGTGGAGAATGGTCTTGCTTATGATTTTTGATGGGTTTAAGAGTCTACAGTTGTAAAAAGTTTTCGTTATAGTATTTGAATGTTAATGTTATGAAAGTTTTCTTTATCAATGGTTTCTATTTGGTTCCAATTTCAAGCTTTGTAGCAATTTGATTTAGTTGCATTGTTAATATTGTGGGTCCTGCCGTCTTTTCTCTTCTTTTATGATATGACATAGTGATGTTTTCGTGTATGAGTTTATCACATTTACAGCTAGTTAATTTTTAGAAGTTTGTTGTTTATCAGCAGTGTTGGATGAGTTAATTTGCTTTGCTGGTGATATTTATGATCTTTGAACGTGAGGAAAGGCTTTTTTACGTTTCCCATGATTTTGAAGTTGAGACTATAAGCTTTCCTAGCTTTTCTACCTACAGCTCCACTCTGTGTGAGCATTTCAGTCATTTGTAAGAAAGTCTGTGGGGGATATATATTAAAATTACTTATTTAAGTTACCCCTTTATTTTTCACAGACTTTTATTATAGGGCGTAGGTGGTGAAAGCAGACACCAAAAGGGCTAGTGGCAAAAATAATAGTTATGAAAGTGTATTTTACCGTTTCTCAAACATGCCCCATCGATGATCCTGACATCATCTAAAGCAATATCTCCTTTATCACCACTTCCTACAATTCCTTCAAACACTATCTGGAAGGCACTCTTTGTTTCAACTGAGAATTTTCCAAGTTGCCAAATGTTTCCTTGATCGTTTCTATTTGCCCACGCGGTTGCACCAAAGGTACCTTCTGTATTGACTAAGTACACATTCAATGTGGCCCCGTACATGTGGTAAAACCACATGACGCATGTGCCGTTTGTTGCGGGATATGACGATGTCCAAAGACGTGCAGTTTCGTTGTTGTATCGCGGATATGAAGTTTCGATATACATGTAGGAACCTGTAGGCAAATGATAAAATAAATGTTATGGTTTAAGAGATATTTTTGTTTATCTCTTTTTAGTATATTTAATTTATTTTGTTTGTAATTTTAGAAATATTTTTTATCAAGAATTTACAATTTCATTTAGGAAATATAAATTCATGTCAGCTTTTAATACCTTGTAATGTTCCGTAGGTGTGGTCATACTTAGGGCCAGTACCAGATGTGGGTGTTGATCCAGATGTTCTTATCCAATCAAAATCATCATATTCATCTTGTTCAAAGTAACAGATGTATGTATCCTCGAAATCACATTTGGTTTGCGCTTCAGAAAGAAAAAAAAGTACAGTTACGTAGTCTTAATAATTCATGACTTTATTAGTAAAAAACTTTTACACTTCAATATAACAATAATTTTTGGCAATGTGTTTAATCATATTCTTATTTTCCTAAAGAATTAGGAATAAAATTTTCAAATAATTAAAAAAAACAACATGAACTTTACAATTTTACTTGTATAAAGTCGAACTGGCCTTCAAAATACTTACATAATATTAATGGTAAACTACACAAAATTTTGTTTTCACAATTTCAATAATATATTACATTATTTGCTTCTTTAACATTAGGTGTAATTTTTTAAATCTGGGTCCAACAATACTTAGTTACGGCAAGTAAAGAGCTTTTTAACACCTTTTAGGATTTTTTAATTCTGGATTACGGTTACTTAAATCATTTTGTATATAGTGAGATTAGAGAGATTTGATAAATGTCTTCTAACTTTGCTACAAGCTTTACTTGTTTTTGATCTTATTTGATGCTACTAGGCCTAAGGATAATATTTCAGATGTGAATTACTTAAAATTATTAGTGTAATGTTTTTAAACATCTTATTTTCTTTCTAAAGTGTTATTAGTATAATTGTTCCAAAGTAAGAACTTGAGTCTTCCATATGCGCATAGAATTCTTTTATAGGCCTAATTTCAAAAGCTGTAGATATTGAATTATATTCATAATCCAGATATAATGAAGTATCATCTGCATATTAACTTATTTTTATCTATTGTCTTTTATAGTGATACCGTACCTTTTATATCTATTGTCTGCCAAATTTTAATTGCAAACAATTCAGCACATAATATATATATTTGTAAGTGTATGAGTATTTTAATTGAATAAAAATGATAGTCATCAGCAAATAAACTAAATAAAGAATTACAAAACACACTAATACAAATACAAAACAGAGAACCCAGGTGCACTAAGCTTTGAGTTTAAGAACAGAAATAAAAAAATCTGTAAATGCCAATAAAAGTTTCAGATGCACAATTATCATCTGACTCGTTGATTATTCTGCCCTAAGCAATAATAGAGCATGTTTCTGAGCTTAAACTGTTATGTACATATTTCTGTGATTGACTCAACATCAATTCCTCGAGCACAAGGTGAGCATTATAATGAGCCTAAAATCGGTTAGTGACCGGTCAAGTCAGTTACAACTAGACAAGGATCAATAGGTGTGAGATTATTCCTTATTATGTGTTCAACATAATGACGAATTTAGTTTCAGAGTAGTCTTTAACATTTCTATTTTGTTGTATTACATGACACAAGTTAAATTTCTTAGTTTTTACGTAGACTTTGTTGTAAGTTTTATTGTTGGTCAATGCTATCAGTGCTTGCAACATTTTAACAACTTTCTTCTGCTGTATTAATATTGTTTGCAGCTTTTCTAATTTGCCTTTAACACTAATTGATTAGTACTGTTGCTCATTAAACTTAGCGTTTTTGATGAATATTTTTTTTGTGAAACCGAGTATTACAAAAAAAGTTTGTAACATGTTTTATTCGTGTATTTGCAACATTTCACTGGTATTGTAATACAGCAAAATCAATTTTAATTTTGAAATTTTTGACATGAATTTTTTTAATCTTTGTCAATAAACATTTGTGTTTATAAAATGTTTTTCCTGTTTTAAAAGTGTGTCGATAATAAATAATGATAGCGCCATCTGTCTAGTCATATGGTGCTTTTCATACAACATGGAGTCTGTGTACCTTTACTATATTTGAACACGTTAATAAATCAGTTGAGTTATTAATCTGTGTCTGCCTATATATTCAGTGATTACCACAAAAAGTTGTCTTACCGTATATACAAATCGAAAACAAATTTCTTATCACTGTTTGTAAAGGTTTATGCACACGCTCTGGGTCGGGGGAAACATTTGTAAACGCATTTAAAGCGTTTTTTTTTTTCTTTTTCCTTATCTTCCGATAAAAAGTTTGCGTCGGATGTGCCTTGCACTATGTTTAAAATCTGCTTTCCTTCTACATAAATTTATTGTCAACGATAAATCTGAGTAATTCGTTTTAATTGTATATTTGTCATTTTAAAATACACATACGAACCAATGTTACTGTGAAAAAATCCATTAACATTTTTTGCAATTTTGTTAATTTTGTCATTGATATCAATCACCCAATATAAATGAATTGAGACGTTGTTGTATATTAAGTGCATTTGATGCACTATCTTGGTGTTTGTTTCAGAATTTGTTTTACTGCAACAGTTTATTATGTGGCATGTGTTATATTTTTACTGGCTGCTTTATTTCAACATCAAGGTAGGCATATCATCAGTAATATGCATCCAATCACTGATATATTGTTCCAGTTGTCTTATTTTGAAAAAAAAAATTGTTTCCTGATGTAACTTTAATATTCGTTATTTTTACATTTTGTTTTGTATAACATTGTATCTGTGGCAGTCAACATCTATCTGTTCTCTTGTACAGTGTTTGGTTAAGCCACACACATTAATGGTCGGTAAAGAAACAACCATTTTTGTTCACGAAGGCTTATTGATAATAGACAAAGTATGGACTTTATAGTATTGTATGCTTATACATGATCTATACATATCTTTATTTATTTATTTACTTGTTTTTCTTGATGATAATTTAGGTTGCTAGTACTATCTAGAAAGACTAATAAGTAAACGTAATATCATAAGAAAAAAAACAATATGCAGTTATAGGCTTATCAGTTTTATACCATGCCAATGTACATGTTTGTCTTTTGTCTTTCAATGCTTTTAAAGATATTGATGGCGTTCTGACATAATACAACGAATACAGGTGGGCGACAATGTACGTGTTCGAAACGAATAATATTTCCCGCTATGGCATGCGTGTTCCTAACAATGGGCAATGTTCTACTTTGGTATTTTATAGATTAAATTAAAAAATGAATAAAACAATAACTGAAACTTTAATAACAGTACGTAATATTATCCTCATGTACCATATCTTAGACTGTTTAGAAGGGATCTCTACTATGAGGCGCCATGTGCTAACTTATTATTTTAAAAAAATTGACGTGGTTTTTTACGTTATAGTATTTTATATAATATATAATATTTTATATAATATATAATTTTTTATATAATTTATTATTTAATATATAACATTTTATATAATATATGAAAAGAATACATTATATAAAAAATTATATATTATATACAAAATTATATATTATATAAAATATTATATATTATATAAAGTATTATATATTATATAAACAAATATATATTATGTATAAAAAATATATTATATAAAAAATGATATATTATATAAAAATTTATATAAATATATAACGAAAAAAACCCACGCTATTTTTGCTAACCATTAAATGTACACTCGGCACGCCAAGTGTTCACTTAATATTTAGCAAAAGTACTTGATGTGTCTGCGTAACGAGGCCATATGACTTTTCAAATTTACCAGTATTATTATTGTATTATTTGTAGTTACGGCCCTGGTGCAAACAACTTGGTGGTACGGATATATCTATGAACAGAAAGGGGTAGGTCAATTAAAAATGACAAGTGGTATTAGACCTTGGATGGTAACGGGTAGGGTGGTAAAACGCCGATTTCGCAACAAAGGTGGCGAGGGTTGTATGTATCGTAAGGCTGAGAAAAAAGGTCAGGTCGCAAAAATGGATAATAATCATTTTATTGTAGTGAATTTTGAGATTAAAATGTACTTTACCATCTCTCGAACATGCTCCATCAGTGATCCTGACATCATCTAAAGCAATATCACCTGTACTACTACTTCCTACAATTCCTTCAAATATTATATAGTAGTAGGAATTGTCTGTTTCGACTGAGATTTGTCCAAGTTGCCAAATATTTCTTTGGTTGTTTTTTTCTGTCCATGCAGGTGTACCAACAGCATGTGGTGCATTGGCTATATACACATTTAATATGTTCCCTGTGGTGCCGTACATATGGTAGAACCACTCAACGCATGTGACGTTCGTTGCAGTATATGACCATATCCAAGTTCGTGCAGTTTCATTATAGTTTCTCGGATTTGAAGTTTCCATGTACATATAGAAACCTGTAAGTAAATGGTAAAATAAATCTCCATGATTTCAAAGAGATATGGTTGTTATATCTCTTTGTAGTTTATTCTATTCATTTCGTTTGTAATTTTAGAAATATTTTCATTAAGAATTTACAATTTCATTTAGAAATTTAAATTCATGTCAGCTTTTTAATACCTTGTAATGTTCCGTAGGTGTGGTCATACTTAGGGCCAGTACCAGATGCGTTTGTTGATCCAGATGTTCTTATCCAATTAAAATCATCATAGTAATCTTGGGAAAAGTGACAGTTGTATGGATCTTCAAAATCACATTTGGTTCGCACTACAAATTATACAAAAAAAAAAGTAACTGTAGTTTAAGTAGTCTCAACAATAATTTGTGACTTTAATAGTAAAACAATTTTACACTTCAATATACCAATAATTTTTGGCAATGAGTTTAATCATATTCCTATTTTATATCTAAAGTATTCGGAATGAAATTTTTCAATTGAAAAAATTCATGAACTTTACAATTTTACTCGTATAAAGTCGAACTAGCCTTTAAAACGCTTCCATAATATTAATGGTAAACTACACAAAATTTTGTTTTCACATTTTCAATAAATAGTGTAGCAATACAAAGGATATAATAAAGGCTTACAGTAGTATAGAATATACTACAGTTGTATTTGTATCATCATTGTGTTTCAACAGTAAATATCTTAGAAGATATTGCAGGATCGGAGCGATAGAGCAGCGGAATGGGTTGGCAAGTTAGCGCATGCGCAAAGCTCACAGTGCTTGACTCCCCGGAAAGTGAAAAAAATCAAGTGGGTACAGAGGGGAATAAATGATAATTGCTTGACGTAAAATAGAAACACCAGAAACGAAGTTCGACTAAATTTACCCCAGTTAGGGTAATTTTCTTGCCCTATTGTTTATTTGATATGACTTTTTCAAAATGCCTGCTCTTAAGGTCATTTGTGTGCAAAAGAATAGGAATTTTGCTGGATAAGTTTACCTATACCCCCACTTTCAAAAAAAGTACTTATTTTAAAAAAATCATGTAGCTAAACAAAATTCAGAAAAATGCCGAAACATAGTGAATCAATAGATTGTTAATAACTATAATATACATAGTCAATTGAAAATTTTTGCCCGGAGCTGGCCTTTAAGGATGGAAAAGTGGGTTACTAATGGTGGGTGGAAGGCCATGAAATTAGCTTTAGACTGGGTGGAAAATTTAAAGGCTGGGTAGCCCCGCCCACCTCCGCCCACTATAATTACATCCCTGGTTGTTATAAGTCATGAATATAGTAATATTATGGTTACATGAATTAGGGCCTATATTTTATACTAGCTGTGTACCTGTCCTTTGGACGGGAATCAATGCAAACTGAATGCATGAGAATAATTTTTAAAAAAAGTATTTCATATTGAGCACAGATGTACAGTCTTCTATCAAGAACCACATTTGTATTAATAATTAATGAAAACAAAGTATAATTAATATGATTATATAAACATTGCATAAATCACTAATTTAGTGTTTTATTAATATTTTACATTTCTTTTTCGTAATTTACAGTTTACTTTTGTGGAGTGGATCTTCTTCATTTCCATAAATTATTTTGCCATTGCTGCTATAGATTACTTTTATTTTATTAAATTGTTGACTTTATCGTACTCTATAATAATTGTGTTTTGTATCTATACTGTATCGTTTAATTTCTGCGTTTAAATTTTGTTTATTATGTACATTGTAAATAAGGTATCTGACGACCATAATAAAAAACAGCATTCAATTTGTTGAATTGTACATCGTGAATAGGCCAAAATGAAGTTTTACTACTACTACCTTGGTACTCTAGTTTTCATTGTTGGTGTGCTGGTGGAACTGAAATAAAAACTGAACGCCTTTGTCCTGTAGTTATCATCATTTTTGTTAGCAGAATTAATGTTATGAAAGAATTGAAAGAAATAATCATCATTCTCGTTAGCAGAATGAATGTCATGAAAGCATTAAAACAATAATAGAAATATTTGTACAGTATTGTATTTTCATTACAGATCAAGTTTAATCAGTAATTTTCATTTAATTTTTCAGGCGGGTATAAAAGTATTGTTAACATATTTGTTTCTTAAACCTTTTAACACATAGCAGGGGCTGATCCAGAATTTTCAAGAGGGGGGAGGGCACAACAGTTTCAAAATAGATAAGAGAGAACACACAACACTGACATGCTTTGAAATTTTAAAAATTTAATGTCAAAACAATATTACAAAGTGCACATAGTTTGATTCTTTTGGTTAATATCGGCTCTCTGATAATAGGCAACTTTGTTGTATTCAATGTAATTAAATGTGTTTCAAATTTAAACGTTGGTTTTAACAATCTATAGTGTAAGCCCAATATATTGGTACAGTATTTTTGATGAGAGAAATTTCTTAATAAAATTACTTTGCTATTTTTAAACAATTAAAAAAAGTATTATAAAGAAAGTTTGGTTCCTTTATCTTGGGAAACATGCTTTCAATAATTAAACACTTGTTTTTACTTTATCAATAATATTGATGGCTAACATGTTGACTTTTGAAATTTCTATAGGCCTACTATAGATTGAAGAATTGTTGTATTGCAACACCAGATTATAAATTGGCTATGAAAGATGTCTTTGCAATACATTTAGTCAAATTGGTGTTTGTGTCTTTTTTTTGTTTTTTGTTTTTTCCTTTTTTTTGTTTGTTTTTTTGTTTTTTTTATGTAGCAGAAATTCTGAGTACTGGTAAAATAATATCAGCAAGTTAGAATATCAGGATAGTAGGCCTACAGTTTTTTTTCCAAAAGTATCTGTTTGGCAAAGTTGAAAGACAACCATTAACGTTGATTTTGGTGGATTCTTGTCTTTGGGCGTTTTTAGTTGAACATTTAGGTTGAATCGGAACTATCACGCTGCATGTTGGGTCTTAGGTCTTCGTTTTGTAGACACCCATATAGGCCCGGGTGTCTATAAAACGAAGACCCTTGAAAATTTCACAAACAGACGCCCAAAAAAAATTCGTAACTTTGATTTTGTGACAGCCAGGTGATTATCATCAAAATAAAATAGAAAAAAATGGGGGTCTTCATTTTATAGACACCCCTGTAGCCTAGCTGTTGAATAAAAAAAATAGGATAGGATATAGCCTACCATGGATTGAAAATAAACATGGGAAAAACATTTGTGCGAATTCTTTTGCTGGGCCGACAACAATAGCTGGATCTTCACAATTGATGTCTTCTCTATCAAAATCATGATCTTGGTCTAGTCCTATGCCTACTTCCACTTCTTCTTCTGACTCCTCTTCTTCATCATCGGTGTCTTCAAATCACTCATTTCCTCCTCGGAATTATCAGGGGGAAAGTATTCCGCGACCACGTTTCTCAGGACAGTTTCATCTTCATTAGAAACACCTAGGCTGGGCACTAGGCCGCAATGAAGGCTCTATTGAGAGCTTCCGGTACATCTTTCGAGGTAGTCATCACCACAAATAGCAAAACGATAAAATAATGCACGCGAAAATGAAAATGATTACCGAAAATTAGGAAAATATTGTAAAAAACAAGATTCTTTCAAAGAAAACACACCGAACTGCGATTCGTAATGGACCTCCACATGAAACGAGAAATGTAAACAATGGAACCGAGCATGCGCGGGAAGCAAAAAAAAATTGAAACTGAGCATGCGTAGTCTATCGTAGCGCATCATAGTAGGGTCTGGAAAATCAGAAGACCATTTTAGTGTTCATTCTTTGTACCATAGAGATATATTATAATAGATCTATGGTTCATAGTGACCAGACCTAGCATAATTATGTTTTTTGGCATAATTTAGACCCATTTAGCATCTAGCACATGTGCTGGCATAATTTTAGAAAAATTTAGCATAATTTAGCATAATTTTGACGTCAGAAGAAAAACAAAAAAACAAAACAAAAAACAAAAAACAAAAAACTTTAATCTGAATTAAACCAGCCGTCAATAACCCTGAATACCACATAATAAAAATGAATTCATCCATTGATTAAGTATCCAATAAATCCTATGCTATGCGCACAATGCAGCTGCCTCTCTGTGGTTTTATTTTTTCCACACATGAAAATGGTTTTGGCCAGGTACTCAATTCTGTCCGGTCCTGTTCTTGCTGCAGGTAAAATTCGCGTTCGTTCGGTCCGTCAAGTGCTCACTACTCAGGGAGTAGTGCACTACCGACTACTGAGTTTTAAATTAAGATACTGATAGTCGGACTGATACTCTACTGCTCAGACCGATCGCCCCACCCCACTTTGTGGACAAACATATATTATATATATATATAATGTCTGTGGAGATTTTTGTATGATTGGAAAGAAATGCAGGGGAAAGAGAGGTTTATGCAGTCACCGACCTAGTTATTTCTCACAATTAATTGGCGTATTTGTTTGTTTGTTTGGTTTCTTTTTTTTTGTGGGGGTGGGGGGTGGTCCCTTCCTCCTTGTGGTTCATCAATTATTGGAAAGAAGAATGTGTATGTGATGTAGGCCTAAGTATTTACTGTAATAAGAATGAGAAGTTTAAAATTTAAAACCTTAAAATTAAAACCTTCAAGAAAGCTAATTTCATGCCATCTGGCGATCAATATTTTCCAAAATTATGTAGGGGCCTACATATATACACACATAAATAGGCATGAGAAGTCTGGAAAGCTCATTTCCCACTCTCTAGGAATCTAAAATTTTCCAGGACAAGATCCCTTTCTTTTGTGAAAAAAAAAATTGACACCCCACCCCCCATCGGCATAATTTGATGTTGTATCACTGGTCACACTTCTATGGTTTTTTACCCCATAGTAACCCAACCCTTTAGAGAAACTGGATTTAATTGGTTGAATCAATAATATTCTATTAAAAATGCTGTCAGAAGGTCGTGAATAGAAGATCTTTCCAATGATAGGCCTACCAAACACTTGGGGTCAAAGTCAGAGAAAAGAAAGGTCGGACGAGGCGGCTTGAAAATGCTCGTTTTGGAAGGATTTTGTGGTAGAAAGAAGCCGATAAATTACCAAGTAAAGGTCGATCAAAAATCACGAAATTTTCTTGCTTCCGATGATTTTTTCGCAATGAAAATTTGGTATGTTGAAAATCAATACTTTTAAAAGCTGTTTTGATTGAAAACAGAATTCCACTAGGCGAATTTATTCGCGCGAATCGAAAGCATCTGTTCATACGCATGCGCATTCACATTTTATCGGGTTTTTCCATTAGGCGCATTTATTCGCGAAAATCAAAGCGTCGGTTCGCTTTCTGAGATCTGATTGGTTGCGCTTTTTTTTCTTTAGCAAAAACTCCGATAGAAATGTGAATGCTCATGTGCATGAGCCGACACTTTCCATTCGCGCGAATAAATTCACCTGGTGGAAAACAGGCTTCATATTATTATATTATTCACCAACACAGCCAAGAAAATTTTGTTTTGTATACAGACATTTCACCAATAAAAATGTCCTTTAATAAATTACCATGCTATGAAGGCTTTATGCACAAGAATATACAGCAACTGTTCGTTAAGTGACAGGGAGACTTAATTGTATGATAATTAAAAAAAAAAAAAAAAGTACACAAATAAGCACAAAAAATAAATACACAAATACACAATTGAAAAAATACACAAATAAAAAATAAATAAATAAATCAAGAAAAAAACAAATTAAGCATTTCAATTATAAACCTGAACTGACAAGGTACATCTTTAATATTGAAAAAAAAACAAAATACATACCGATGATTTCACACTTGGGTCCAGCAGTACCACGACGACATGAACAGCGGTACCTCTCACCACCATCAAAAAGTCGTCGTTGGCCTGAATAACAACGCCCATTATTCTGACATGGGTTAGGAACACAACGATCGTTAATAGGCCAATCTGTTTAAATATGAAGATATAATTTATTTCATAATTTATAGATGAAGAGACAATAGAATTTTACTTATTTAGATGTTTCTGGACATCATAATAAGGAAGAGAAATGTATTTATTTTAAACATTGTGGTTTCGATCTGTCGACTGCCACAGTTAAAAAAAAAAAAAAATAGCATAGGTATTTCAATTGACAAAATGTTATTTCCCCTACCCCTTATTTCTTATAATTGACCTGTAGGCCTATAGTCTGATTTTTCATTCATTTTTATTTTTTCAAAAAAGGGTTTCAAAATGCCCGGCACAATGAAATGCATATGCTATGTTTTACATTCTTGGCATGTGTTGTGCCAAGAATACCATAAGTGCCATATGTGCTCTGTATATAACTTGACCATCATTATTCTTTTTTAAGATTTTGTTTTGTTATATCTTTCAGCAAGTGTTAAACTCCGAAAAAAATTAGTACAAGTCAATGTGATTCAATATTTCAGGCTTGATTTGTTCAACTGCAGAATTCATACTATCTGATCTTTTAGCAAGAATTTTAATTAAGCTTGCTACCATCGGACATGAAAAAACATCATTGTGGACAGCTGCTTCAATATACAAAAAATGCTGGTTTATGCACGCTAACACACAAGGTTTTTGTGAATATTGTTTTATATAAAGTAATATACTCTAGTGATGCTTTAGTAATAGGCCTACATTATGGACAAAAATGCTGATTTAAAGTAGGTACCGGCAACAATTTTTAAAAGTTTTTTTTACAACATATTTGTTCATCTCACCAGATAGAGGGCATGAAAACTAAGAGAATGGTACTTAAATTTTTATTTTTGGGTGGTTGGTTGCTGAGATATGGCCATTCTAATATCTGCATTTTCGCGCACGCCGTAAAAGTGTAAAACGCATGGTTTTCAGCATGCTGTAACGACAAAAGTATGTGAGCTACGCAATTCATTTTTTTATTACTTTATTACAAACAAAACTTTTATAAACTATATAAAATATCAAGGCAGTACTATGGATAGTTTTTGAGATATAATTGTCTGAAATGTTGAAAAACCTCAATATTCACAATCCGCGAATAAACAAATATTAGCTTGCGGACAGTTTTCAAACATTGCTAAATCAATAAATTGACGTACTACATGCCTGAATTCCAATGGTTGCACACTATCTAGTACATA